TTGCATGATCACTTCCTCCCAGGGTTCCTATGGCTTCAACACCTTCTATCATTTCATCTCTGTTAGTGAGAATTAGATCCAAAATGGCTAATCCCCTAGTTCCCTTCTCTACTTTTTGGGAGACAAAGTTGTCTGCTAGGTTTGCCAGGAACCTGTTTGATCTTCCACTTGGTGCAGAGTTTGTGTCCCAGTTGATGTCCGGGTAGTTAAAGTCCCCCATTACTATTGTGATGTGCTTCCTACTTACCTTAGTTAGCTGACTAGCAAAAAGTTCATCTGTTTCCTCTGTTTGGTTGGGTGGTCTGTAGTATACATGTATGGCAATATAAAATACATCTTCTACAAACTAGTTTTCAACCTTAGCGGTGGCATTACTATAGTTTAACTTTCCCAGCTTTGCAGACAGCTCAGAGTTTCCAGTCAGTAGCTATGCTTTTTATAGTTTTTTTTTACAACTACTACTAATAATAATGGGACTTGTGTGCTCTGAGGAAGATGAGAGCTGTGCCAGAGGTTCAACCATACCATACAGGTCTCATCAGAGGAGTCCGACAAAGAGTGTCTCTCCAATAAATTTATGGTGAGACATAAATTTCAGAAAGCCATATCGACTCGGTTGTCCCCCGGTTAACAAGGTCTGCACTAGATGTTGGAATTCCTGGATATCTGATGAAAAATGGACTACAGGATTCAGGACTGCAGAACTACTAGAAGAAAAGGTGTTTAGTCGTCGCAAATACATGGTGATTGAAAACAATGATCTGTTATCTGTGCATCTAGAACAGGACAAAAAAATCAGAATAAGGCTGCATGCACTGAAGCTTGTTCCAAAGAAATAGCACAGGAATTAAAAGATGCAAATACTGCAATATCACTGTACCAACTCACTGCAATAAACCAACTAATGTACAGCACAGCTGCAATTATAACTGAATACCTTAGATACAAAATCAACAGAAGAAAAAAATCCAAACTGCACCCCAACCCAAAGATGCTTTTTCATGAGGCAACTGGATTTTCTTGTTTTTTCTTTGGAGACGTTTGCTTGTCATTCAAGAAGCTTCTTCAGCTCTGACTGCATGGTGGGGAATGAAAGGATTTATACTCCTTGCAGATAGCTGGTTATTTGCATTCTTTTAGAGAGTCGTTGAGGCCACTAGAA